AAACCAGCTATTCCTCTACTGGGAATTTTCCTGGAGGATCTGAAAACATCATATCATAGTGATATATGTGTGCCTATGTTTATAGCAGCACAGTTTGTGATAGCCAAACTTTGGAAACAACCACAATGCCCATCACATAAGGCATGGTTGAAAAACATGTCGTACTTTTATACAATGGAGTATTATTCAGCTATAAAGAATGATAAACTTGAAGTCTTTATATTGAAGTGGATGCCACTTGAAGCTATACTCATAAGTAAATAAACCAGACACACATGTATAAATATCGTATAGTTTCCCTAGCATAAGAACTCAAAAGAAGAAATACAAATAGAAAGGTATAATACAATTAAAACGAAAGCAAGAACTTGAGGACTAGACAATGAAGAGAGAGCAAGGAGAAGAGCTAGGAAACAGGACAGAGGCAAGCCATACAGTTATATGTACCAGATGGGTAAGACAATGATCATGAGAATCTTCAGAAGATTTTTGAATCTAGCAGTTAATTGGAAGGATTCTCACCCTGACTAACTATATATACTGACACCTGTGAACTAAGCAACTGCACTGATGATGGCAATTTGTAATAGTAGTTTCATGCTTGGAGTGTCTGTCATTCTGGTCTTCTGTATACGTGCTGCTTGTCATGACACGCCAGTTGCTGCCATGCTGTTTCTCAGGTAGATGATTGTTTAAAAAGAAAGGGGGTGGTGAATGAATGCAGGAGATAGGAAGAGGAGTTTTGTGTGACTGTCCTGCAACAATGTTGTATATGGTTAGATTTCTGGACTTATGTGTAAACATATATAATTCTTTATTCCTATTTTTAAATATATTTTAATTTTAAAATTTTTTTTCATGATATTCTGTAGAGACTTAAAGTTTAACATATCAATACTTGATGAAAAATACCTGTTCCATGTTATGCCTAAGATGTTTGATATTCAGACAGGTAGTGAGGTTAAGCTCAACAGCCTAGGTTATGTGGTAATAACAATAAGCTTCTTTTCTGGAGGGTTAACAATCTAAGTTTGCACACCAAAAATTAGAGAAAAAGGAGGACTGCAAGGAAAGCCAACATTTTGGCCCTAACCTTCCAAGGTCAATTAAGACTCAGGACATATGAGAACTTGTACTGTAACAACATGTAACTCAGTTGTATCCCAAATTTTCTGATCAAGGAGATTATGGGGCCAAACAGGAAAGTGATCGATGATGTAGAGTGTGCCTAAGGAGAGTCACATTCACAGAGAGCACATTGGCCAAGCAATGGCCATGACTCATCCACATGGCTGACACTGACAAAGGATCTACAATCTGAGGTACAGGTTCTCAGGATAAATCCTGAAGGGATTTCACTGACCTTATCAGACCCAAAAGCTACAACTCTTGTTGCATAGGTCTTGCTTTATCTTGTACTTAACCATCCAGCAGAAAAGTATAAAAGGAAGTACAAGAAATAAAGTCATGCTGTTATGTTGAGCTGTAGGGGACTCAGGTCAACAATTTCTGACATTGCCAGTCAAGTGGAAGACCCTATACTATTATGGACTACTGGACTATTTTGGAATATTTTATTGAGTCCACATACCTATAATATTTGAATGATGGAACTAAACAAAAAAAGGTGATATAGATGAATGACCATTTTGTATCTGTGTATTCAAAATGGTTAGGATAGATATATGGTTACATTCTCTTAATGAATAGAGGGATTTGTTCTAATAGTGTTTGTAAATAGGATATCATGTCTGCATCTTGTACAACAAATAACCACTAGGAAGGCAGTATGCAATGTGTTAATTATTGAAACTGTCCTACCAATTTGATTTGAAACTGTCTCATTGCTATTTGTTTCTCAATAAAATTATGGGAAATAAAAAAAAAAAAAAAAAAAAAACCCTTAACCTGGAAGCTCTTGCTAGCTTAAGCTCTTCTCCTTGGCCCGCTCTCACTCAGTGGAGTGTATCCTGTCTTTTCTTTTTCAAATAAACCATTGACTTTGCTACTATCCAAAAAATAAAAATATAAAATAAATTTTCCAATATTCTTTCTCTCTCTTACACACACACACACACACACACACACACACAAATGTACACATGTGCATGTCCACATACTTCATAGATGAAAAGTGCAGAAAAAGTAGTAAACCTTTCAAGATTACATACCCATAATGTCAGGATTCAAACCCAGACCTCTTGGTCATTTTTAATACTCCTAAAACACTATGTGGGTTATAAGCTACTAGCCTCTGACCAATTCTATGCATCAAATATTCAAGGATTAAGGGCTTGGGAAATAGCACAGTGGGTCTAAGCATCTGCCTGGCAAGCACAAAGTCCTGAGTTCAATTGCTGGTACCACATGTTGTGCTGGCCCTGGAATCCCAGGCACATGGTGTCAGGTCTGAAATCCAGCATGGTGGTATGCGCATATAATCCTAGCACTGGAGAGACAGGGACAGGAGAATCACTGTAGACCTGAGCTGCATAGCAAGACCCTGTACCAAATAAATAAAAGATTAAAAAAAAAAAAAAGAATTAAGACAGCATAACACAAAGGGCTCTGAAGGCAGGCTAGAGTTTAAATTCTGACTTGCTCACTTGCTAATGTATAGCCTTGGACAGGACAAGCAAGGGCTCTGAACCTCCGGTTCATCTATTAAGCAAAGGTCAACAACCTACCCGTGTGGTGGCGAGACTTAAATGAGATCCTGAATGTAAGGGGTGGGACAGGGTCCCGGCACACCATGGGAAGCAGTGGGCAGATCTGTCATTGCTGCCACCCCACTTTCTAGAAGCAACCTGAAAGCTCTGAGCTTTGAACTTTCACCTGGAGAGAAGAGTATGGTTCAAGCAATTCCTTTTCTTGACAAATGCTGTGTGGACATTTCTGTTCTCAGCTGTGCCCAGCCAGAATAAATCCAATTCAATCTGGGCCACTTACTGCTTGGCACTATTTTTAATGCTAATCTCATCAGTTGTTATTTTCAGTTTCTGGTTTACCCAAACAAGCCATTTTTAGAGATTAGTGATTTTAAACCTAAGCTGCCAATAAAATGGAATTATCTTGAAAACACCCAGATTCTTCGGCAGGAATGTCAATACAAAAATATATAACATACAGCAATACTTGACAAGGGTGTGGCCCCTGGTTTGGAGGCCAGTGCATCTGTAAGCCCACCTAAGGCTATTTTGGAGGATGAATGTCTTGTATGCTTACTGCCCTGGCCACCCTGCCATCCATTCGGGTTGAATGTCCTTTGAGGGTGAACTTGATCCTCCTGTTTCACTTTTGGTCTCTCTCCAGAGAAGCGAATGCGCTGGCATAGTTCTGCCATTTGTCGGCCAGAAGTCTGGCTACACATTTGCTCGTCAATCTAAACCTAACCTATTCTCATATGAACACATGGGGTTTCATGTAAATCAACCAGACATTCTGCCATTCACCAGCAGTATCTTCATAGTGTTCCACACCCGTGGGCCTGCAGGAAGCATTTCCCTATGCCTGTGGAAGAAATATTCCAGTGAATGTGCTTTTCCAGGGATGGCGACACCAGAATGTTTTAAATCTGTTCCATACCACAACATGGATAAATGGCATTTCTGCCAAAGACTTTTGCTAACGGGTGCAGTAATACATGTCAGCACTTTCTGAAATTAGAGGTTTCACCCAGAGAGGTAAGTAACATCGTGCATGGTTGACAAACGCAAACCCAAATTCTGGACCTGAGTGCTTCTGGCTAGGGTCATTGATTGTTTCCAACAGACTCTGTCTTGGAGAGTTCATTAATAATGCTCTTTCTTCCCCTTTGGCATTTACCATCCAGGTGAGTAAGATCTCATGGTCTGCAAAAGGGCAGATTTTTATTAACTAAGCATGCTTTATTGTGATTTTCTTACATTTGGATTCACATATGATTTTATCAGCTGCATTTCAAAAATCTGTGATGATTTAAGGACAGTAGTTCGTCAACATAGTACTTTGTTGCTCAGTAAAATGTTTGAATAACCAGTTCAGTAGTCTCTTGCTAAGATCTTTGTTTCTAATTGCAGTAATTATTAAAGTTTTTAAAAAAAAATCAGTGATAAGATGTGAGCCTTCATTAATTCTTTTGGCATTTTCAAGAGGCACAAAGGGATTAAGGAACTGAGAATGGAAACAAGGAAAAACAACATCAGCTGTCACACACGTGCGAAACATCGGGCCAGTTAACATTGGTGTTTCTGGCTGGTACAGTGGTGTTTTAGTGTACAGATTATGTATGAGGATCATGGAGAAAATGGAGAGGGAAAGACTTCTGATTCAGGTTATCTGCAAAGAGCACATTTGATTCCCACTAATCTCTGAAATGCCCGGTATCATTACTATTCCCTGTGAGAACTGTAAGTCTGACCACAAGAGCTGTATTAAAAAAACAAACAAAAAAAAAAAAACAACCAACATCTGTGAAAGGTTATTCATCCAAACAATGTTTCCTCTAAAATTAAAGACTCACAGATAGAGCCATATTGCTCTGGCTCTCAAAATGTCTGCAAACGGACAGAATACAAATTTTAGAGAGGAAGTTTCCCTTTATTGGATTCAGAACAGGTCCAGAAGATCATAAAGTTTTTTAATACCGAATTTCAACTATAAATTTACTTGGTTATGCTATAAATATTAGTGTCTACCTAAGTACAATTTGGGGCCTTAGGCACCTTTCTCGCAGTTCTCTCCTCTGGGTCCCCTGGCAGCCTTTTCCGCTACCTGACTTACGCCCTCTAGTGTTTCTGCGATGAAGTACAGCGTCTAAAATGCAATTTACAAAGCAAAGTAATTTTGCAATATTTTCCCCAAGTACCATGAGCTACAACAAACTCACCACCAGATATTTTGATTTGAGCTCTTTGTGGTAGTGAGGATTTTATATCCAAGAGTTTCAAACTTAGTCGAATCTTGCATTCTGATTTTAGATCCCCAAAGGGAGAATTTACTTCTAATCTGATTAGGTTCCTTGTCTGCCTTTCAATCCTTGTACTCTTAATTTACTTTTATTGTGATATACAGAAGGGGAAAAGATGCTCTAATGAACTAAAGTAGGCATTTCTTTGATATATTTCCCAGGGCTGGAACTTACACTTTGATTCTTCTAAGTTACCCAAGAGGTTCAAGGTATTTTGACTCAAGAAAAAAGCGATTAAAATTTTAATGGCCTTATGGAAACTAGAGGCATATTTACAGTCACTGAAGCCGTTAGTCAAAGCAGGAGAAACAGCCGCTTGGGAAATGTATCGCGTATGAATCCTTTTTCTTTACAGAGAGGAAAATACACTTACAGCACTGTCAGCTGCTATTACTTTTCCTTTGAAAATCAGCCACAGAGGATTGTGAGGGCTAACTATAGGCCCCAGTCATCCGGGATCCTCCCAGCCCGTTCCCCGGGATGGCACCAACCTAGCCGCTGCGTGTGGGTCTGCAGATGCAGCGGTCTAGCCCAGGTTGCTATTTTTGAGTGGAGTTCCTGAAGCAAGGCCCTTGACTGTCAGTCACGCTGCTGGCATTCAGGTTTATACGTAAACCATTCCAAGCCCTTATTCGCTGTATGCACCAGTGACTTCTCTCCTGCTTGGTAGCTGCCTCTTTAGAGACCCCCACTGCAGGTTCACAGATTTGTCACTTCGTAATATTACAATGAAGCTTTTGTTGAACACAAAGCTCACCCACTTGCTCAGCTGTGTTCCATCAAATTACTTCAACTATGTGAGCAGGAAGTCTCCTACTTACGTAGCCTCCTTGTCTTCCTTTACCCTCCAACGTCTCCCCATTGCCAGACCTTGTTGCTCAGATCAGCACAGGGCTTTCATTGTTCTCTTCCATGGCCACTGTCATTGCTGTTCATCCTTTCTGCCCAGACTGCAGCTAGTAACTTCTCAGCCAACCTCTCTTCCTCCAATTCACCCACATTCACCCATGCATGCAAGGTTAGCCTACAAGGATGGCATAATAAGACCCTGCCTCTCTCTAAAAGACAAAATGAGGGACATAGCTCAGTAGTGCAGTGCCTGCCTGGCAAGAGTGAGGTCTTGAATTCAATTCCTGGTACCAAAAATAAATAAATAAATAAATAAATAAATAAATGGTTCTCATCACCTATGTGACTTTTAAATATGAAATTCCTTTTCTTTTTCTTTTTCTTTTTTTTGGCACAGCTGGGGATTGAACGCAGCAGGCCCTTGTGCTTGCAGGGAAGTGCTTATTCTACTGAGCCATCTCCCTAGCCCTTTTCTTTTCTTTCTTTCTTTTCTTTTTTCTTTCTTTTTTTTTTGAAATTCTGTAATTTCTTAATCTATTTTATAGTATGGCAGAATGCTGCAAATTGGGTGCCCTGTAACAAACCGAAATGTGTTGGTTTACAGTTGTGGAGCCTGGGAAATCCATGGCCAATGGCCAGAATCTTGTGGGAGCCTCTTTGCTGTGTCATCCCATAACAGAAGAGCAAGGGGGGCTGAGAGGGAGGCAGAAGGGAGCCAAATCTGTGCTTTTATATGTGATCCTCTCCTGCTATAAACAATGCACCCCACAATAATGGCATTAATCCCCTCGGGTGCGGAGCCTTGTGGAATCATGTTAACACCCACCGTGAAATGGTGCAGGGAGAAGTCAGACACACAAACTTCGGAGCCCACGTTGAGAGCACAGCTCATAGACTCATTTTTGACATGACCTGAGGCCTGGAGAGTGCTCACTCAGTCTCAGCTCTTCCCTCTCATACCCCTCCCACCCTTTCCCACCCTTTCCCCATCAGGTAAACGTTCCCTATGCTTTGACCCAACTACGTGGTCACTGTTCCCCAAGCCCACTGTGCCTTTCGTGCACATAGACCTGACAAATGATGATCTGCATTTTTTTCAAGATGCATTTTGAGTGTCACTTGTTTTGTTTTGGAAGCACTGGAGATTGAGTGGGACAGTTGCACTACTAAATAAATGCCCATACCTACCTGCCTGCCTGTTGGTTTGTTTAGAGGCAGGGGCTCACTAGGTTTCTCAGGCTGGGCTTGATCTTGGGATCCTCCTTCCTCAGCATCCCAGCATGCTGGAGTTTCATGTGTGTACTGCCATGCCCAGCTGGTAATCCTTTTTTTTTTTTTTGTGGTGCTTTCCTTAACTCCCACATATCTTTTACAAATACAGAGTCCTTCCACTTGTATATTTTCTAGGCCATTGTGTGGTCTCAGTTGTTGTTTTGTACCAGAAATCAAGTTCAGCACCTCCCACTTAAAAGGGAGGCACTGTGCCACTGAGCTATATCCCCAGTTGGAATCTTAGTTTTATGTTACCACACACACACACACACACACACACACACGTTCTTCTCAGTGGTTTATGAAACTCTCAATCTTGATTTTTGTCTTCACAACATCAAGAACTATACCTAAATTAAAACAGTAAGCATATTGTGTTCTATTACTAAAAACATAAACCTCATGTATGAATCAGCCAGTAACACACAAGAAAAATATTTAAATTCAGTTCCTGCTTTGACTTACATCTAAGCAAGACTACTGACCAGACTTCACAATAGATTGCAGTCTGAGGCCACATAGCTTCACTTTAGGAAAACTGACATATTTGCCAAAAGATGATCTCAGGAAAGTCATGAGTGCCAGGGACTTAAATCAGAGAAAAAGAGATACAAACTAAGGAGGTAGAGGGGAAAAAAGAGAAAAGAAAAAATAAGAAAAGAAGATCAAGTGGAAACAGCTTTGTGAATGGGGAAGGGAGAGAATCAAAATGAGAAAAAAAGAGGAATCAAGAAAGAAAGGGAGAAAATTTAGAACAGTGAAAGCTTGTTTGTCTTTTAGTTTAGGACATTTTAAGGATTCTGCTTCAATTATAAAACATTTAAATTAAATAAATGGAATCTTGAATGTAAAAAACAAAAAGACTACCCTGAGACATTCTGAGAACCAACACTGAATTTATTCATTGTGATAAAAATAGCTAATCAAAGACTTCAATTGGTTTGAGCTTTGATATAACAATGTAATAACTGTTTAAAAAATGTAACTGCTTTTAAAAAAAGAGGCAGGAGCAGAGATATGGTGAACTGGGGCTTGCTGTACCACCAAACTGCCCAACCCTCCCAAATGCTGGGATTACAGGCATGCACCACCATGTCCAGAGGACTCAGAAAACAAAGAGGCTGCTGAAATGAAGATGAACGCCATATGGGCAGTGTTTACATCTAGAAGTCCCTCCGAATCTCCACACACTTACAGGTGCAGCTTCTGAGGGGTGACTCAGTCTTGGAGCTAATCCAAGGGCGAGTCTGTAGCTAAATGTGTTCTAGCCTGGCTGGAGGAAGAAGGCACCAGGGTCATGGCTGGAAGGGACCTCCCCTAGTCCCTTTCATCCCTCCTCTGCTTCCTGACTACCATGCCATGAGCTGTTTCTCCCCTGCTGTGCCCCTCTTCCATGTCACCCTGCCTTGAACCAGCCAGCTGTGGACTGAAACCTTTACAAACTGTGAGGCAAAATAACCTTTCCTCCTTAGGGTTGTGGGTCTCAGGTATGCTTTGCAGTGATGAGAAAGTAACTGAGATACATGCTATGGCTCCAGGCCATCCTTCTAATTTCCTATCTGTACTCTCGCCACATGTCTCCAAATTCCCAACTTCCATGTAGGCTTAATATTG